CCGGCACGTGTCGACACCATATTGGCTGCCGTGAAAGGGGTGAAGTTAGGCCACGCCATCACTATGAAACACTTTCAACGAATGTTGGGTCTCCTGGCGGCTGCGTCCAGCGTAATACCATCTGGACTGCTGCACATGAGACCCCTGCAGTGGTGGCTAAGGAACAAGGGTTTTTCCCCGAGGGGAAATCCTCTCCGTCTGATTTGGGTTACGCACAAGTGTCTTCGTTCCCTATCAGTTTGGAAGGAAACTTGGTTCCTGTCCCAGGGGCCCGTGCTGGGAGGGTCTTGTCGCCGGCTGGTTATTTCGACAGACGCCTCCCTCACGGGCTGGGGCGCGGTCATGGACGGCCGCTTTGCAAGGGGATCCTGGCAGGTGCATCGATCCGAGTGGCATATCAACTGTCTCGAGATGTTGGCGGTGTTCCAGGCTCTAAGGGGTTTCCTGCCCGATCTCCAAGGCCACCACATCCTGGTTCATTCCGAGGAGAACAACACAGCGGTGGTGGCCTATCTGATTCACCAGGGCGGTCTGCGCGCGCCCTCTGGACAGACTGGCGCGTCAGATCCTCCTGAGGTCCCAGCAGAGGTTACTATCACTCAGGGCGATGTATCTCCCGGGACGCAGAATCAGGGAGCAGACCTGCTGTCGAGGCAGGGGCTGAGGCCCGGGGAATGGAGACTTCACCCCGAAGTGGTGGAGCTCTTGTGCGAAGAGTTCGGCCCCATAGACGTGGATCTGTTGCGTCTCAAGAGACTACGCACTGCCCGCTATGGTTTCTCTCGTTCCTCCAGGCCCGTTGGGTCTGGACGCCATGATACATTCGTGGCCGAGGCTACGTCTGTACGCTTTTCCCCCAGTCGCTCTGCTCCCGGGGTTCTGGAGCGGGTCCGCCAGGACAATGTCGGCCTACTGCTCGTAGCCCTGTTCTGGCCAACCCGGGTGTGGTTCTCGGACATCATGTCGCTCCTGGACGGCCCGCCGTGGCGGGTCCCTCTGAGGAGAGACCTGCTGTCCCAGGCGCAGGGCCGGGTTCTTCACCCTTGCCCCGCCATATGGCGACTGTGGGTCTGGCCCCTGAGGGGCACAGTACCTAGAGGCGGTCTAACAGCCGGAGCAGTCGAGACCCTCCTGAGCTCCAGGGCCCCGTCCACACGGAGGATGTACGGCCTGAAGTGGAGTGTTTTCCCACTTGGTGTAGGGAGCGGTCGGTGGACCCTGTTACCTGCCCGGTGGTTCAGGTACTTGAGTTCCTCCAGGACCGGTTCTCTGCTGGTCTTTCCCCTTCCACCCTCAAGGTGTACGTGGCAGCTATTTTCCACACCCCTCTGAGGGAGGGGTCCTTGGGGAAACTTCCCTTGGTTGTACGTTTCCTCCGTGGTGCCCGGAGGATGAGACCTGCGACTCGGTCCAAGGTTCCCACTTGGGATCTGACAGTGGTTCTTGGGGCGGTGGCTGAGGCCCCCTTCAAACCCCTGGAGTCAGCTGAGGCTAAGCACTTGACCCTCAAGATGGCCTTTCTCCTTGCTATCACCTCTCTGAGGAGGGTGGGGGATCTCCAAGCGCTCTCTGTTCCCCGCAATACTCAGTGCCCTGTCAGAGCACTGAGTATTTACACTCTGAGGTCCTCCCATTGGAGGAAGGCTGACCAGCTGCTAGTGTGTTTTGGGTCTCCCAGGGCCGGGCTCCCTGCATCCAAACATACTATTAGCAACTGGATTGTTCAGACTATTTCCCTGGCCTATCAGGTGCGCGGTTTGCCTTCACCTGTGGCTGTGAGGGCTCATTCTACCAGAGGCAAGGCGGCCTCTCGAGCCCTCCTTTCCGGGGCCTCTTGCAGGATGTTGTTTAGCGGCTGGCTGGGCCACTCCGCACACATTCATTCGGTTTTACAGTCTTGACCTTCCTTCGGCACCTGGCACTCGTGCGCTCCTCTCTTCTCGTGCCACTTTATTGCACACAGGGGCAGGCGGGGTTTTCGGCACGGTTTAGTGGGTATCTCGTTCCCATAGTGTCGTGACCGACGCAGTTCCCCGAGAAGGGGAACGAGAGACTGCGTCGGCCCGCCGCACCTCTCTCCCCGCCTGAAGCACCTGCTTCATAGTTTAAGCTAATGATGTGTGTACAGGTGTGCTTTATACTCCTCCGGTTATTCCGTCACACCTTACACTGTAAACCCCAATAAGTTCATAGTACTCAAAACTTTTGTAGAAACTGATTACATAATAACTTTTGAGGTAAGTAACTTAATATTTTTAAGTTAGATTTTTTTAAAAGTTACAATCTAATCAAACTTAAAAAATTAAGTTACTTACCTTTAAATGTTTAAGTTTGATTAGATTGTAACTTTTAAAAAAATCTAACTGAAAAATATTAAGTTACTTACCTTTAAATGTTTGAGTAAGATTTTTTTAAAAGTTACAATCTAATCAAACTTAAACATTTAAAGGTAAGTAACTTAATTTTTTTAAGTGCACTATGCTTAAAAATTGTTTAACACCCGCACATTTTTTGTTTCTCCATACTTCATTATTTTGATCCAATGGTACTAAAAAAATATGCTTGTGTATAACCCACAAGCTAATGAAATTTACAAGTTAAAACTACAAAAAAAAAAATTACTTCAGCTGTACATTTTCTTTTTTCTTTTATTCAGTCTTAATTTTTATACAAACATGTCAGAACATCAACAGCAGTCAACAGTTAAAACTCTGTTCTAGCTCAGGTGTCTAACCATGTGACTCAAGTCACAGTTTCACCACCTACCCAAAAGCTGTAAGCCTGTTAAGCAGTGAAATTTCTTAAAATATTTAGTTACAAACCTACATGGACACAGCAAATATGTATGTTTTAGTGTATGGTTGTGCATTTGTCTGTGTGTGTGTGTGTGTGTGTGTCTCTGTGTGTGTGTGTGTGTGTGTGTCTCTGTGTGTGTGTGTGTGTGTGTGTGTGTGTCTCTGTGTGTGTGTCTCTGTGTGTGTGTGTGTGTGTGTGTGTGTGTGTGTGTGTTTGTGTACATATGTATCTCTACATATTAAACAGGAACAAGATCATCAGGAACTAAGCAAAGTGCTTAATATAAAAAGTATGAAAATAAATGCTTATTAAAACAGCATTAGTAACAGCAATCAAAGTGAAAATGGAATAAAAAAATATACAAAAAAAAGTAAATTAAAAGATTTGGTGGGCAAGACATAATCTGCCATATGTAAACGGTTTCAAATGCTTTGAGTAACATTGTGTTCAACAACATACTATAAAGTTACCATACTGGGAACCCCCAAAACACATCAACATGCAGACAAGAAAATACATGTGTAAACACTACTCTTAAGTTAGCCTACTCTTTCATTAACAGGTCATTTTTGAGACTCAGTAGGCAGGGTTTAAGTGGTTTACCATCATCAAGACCCATTAGGATTTTCTGGATGAATGTGAAAGTGTGAATGAGTTTCTTGGGATAGTTCAAATGCAATGCATACATTAACCCAAACAACAATGCAAATGCATCAGCCAAGTTAGGGATATCACTCATCACAACATCGTCTTCCACAACAATAGAAATACTTGCAGGACTGAAATGAACTGGATCTGCAGTGTCCTCTGTGACTGTGACAAGAGCAACAGGAGTGTCGATGCATGGCTCATCTGACTCCTCCTCCAAATACATATTTGTTTATAGACATTAATAGTTTAAAGGTGGATAAAGTCCACTTTTATGATGATCAGGTGTTTCTAATATTCTGACACCTTCCTGTCTGTAAATAGAAGGACAAATCATTAAAAACAAAATAATGTAATGCAGTACAACACCACCTTGACCAGTAATAAACAAATGACTGAATTTACACATTTCTGACAAGGTCAACAAAAGCTGAACATTCTGAGCTTTGCAAAGATCGATGGTACAGGAGATGTAAATTCCCCACAGCTTCCTCCTCCACAAACTCAAATCAGAACCGGAGAGCAACATGGCCACGTTATCAAAACTAATGTGCCAGAGTTTGTGTCTTTATTTTGAAATAGTGAACAAGTGTTCCGGCGAACAAATGTATTTTACGGTTGAATCCAAAAATGATTTATGAACTGTAAGAATAATTAGATTGTTTCCCTTTTTCATTATTTTCATTTGTCTTGTGGTTGAGCTCTTCAGCAGAAGCCGTATGTAAATATTTCCAGCTTTACATTTGAAGATCACACTAATTTTGTAACTATGCCGATGATACACTACTTTTTATTTCAGATCTATAAAATATTTTTCATACTAGTTATATTTCAAGAAGAATGCATATTATTTGGGAACACCTAAACTATTATCATATTAGAGAGTCTTTAACAAATGTTATTCAGTAATAAGACATGATTATATGACTTTTCATTGAAATTTTCCTACCTTTTGGTTTTGTTCCAAAGATTTATTATTACAGACAAATCTGTAATGATTATAACAGATAAAAGGTTTTACAGTCATGAAAGTATTTTAATTGATCGGAACAAATACTGGATTTCACTGGTTTGTACTAAATAATGAAAATGTAGAAGGGAGTTTTGTTTGAGTGTAAAAACTCTTTATTATACAGTATTTAAGGCTATACATTAAATAATCTTCCTAATGTTTGTCAAGATTTTCTCTGGATGTAACACAGTCACTGACACCATCAAGAGAACATTTATTAAGACACTTTGATGATAATAAACATGAAAACAGCTGATTGGATGAAAAGGTCTTTATTATCTGGAAACACTGAAATAATATTGAAACAGTGCAACAAGCTAGTAAATCTTGCTGTTGAAAGATGTCAAATAAAAGAGAGAGACAGTTCCAGAGTGCAGAGTGAGAGCAGGAACAGAGGAAAACCAGTAGCAGAGTCCCAGTGAGTCAGGTCAGGACTGGGAACACTGGTCTCTCTCCTCAGTGTCTCTGAGAGCGGAGTCTGGGAGCCCTGGGTGGCCTCACAGGTCACAGAGCCCACCTTCCTCCACTGGTCTGCAGAGAGCCTCAGGGTGCTGCTCCAGCTGTAGTGGCCGTCCTTCTGCAGCACCCCGGGGCTCCTGCTCTCCTCCCAGCTGCTGCTGCTGCTGCTGCTGCTGCTGCCGTCCACCTTCCAGGCCAGACTCCAGTCTGAGGGGAAGCCCTTGTTGGCCAGGCACATGAGCGTGGCCTTCCCCTGCTGCAGCTCCTCGCTGGAGGGGGGCAGCACCGTCAGGGTGGGACGGGCATCACCTAGGAGAAGAACCAATTGGCTTAGAGGACGGGGACCATACAGCTGGTTTCTGCTCCACCAGTCACTCACTCACACATTGTTTCACTTCCTTTAAGAAACCTCTCATGCATATCAGCACAGAAAGAGTCCTCATATGAGCTGAAAGATATCAAACTGCACTGGAAATAAAACAACCAGGTTTTAAATTTGGAAATACAAAAAACATATTTACTGTCAAAACTGTCAAAAGGGCAAAAGTTACTGAGATCCCATTTTTACGTATATATTGTTCCATTGGTGTGAAAGTCAAATTGATCCCTCTAGAATGAAATGAAAGCAGACAGAAGATGTTGTAAAAGAAAATCTTTCTGCAGTCATCAAAGCAAATGTCCATAAAAATGATCACTGACACATTCCTAATCAATCCTCTGGTAAACGTATTGATCCATTGAGAAGCAGCATCATCAGAGTAATCCAAGTCCCTGTTGGAGTCAGTCAGAGCATTTCCATAGAGAGCCACTTTGCATCAGCAGCACCATGCTCCAGTGCTCTGGGAGACTTTATAGTCCTGAGAGTTGAACACTGGATGACTGACAGCTGTCCTTCATGACAACAGAAGCCACAGAAATCCTCCTCATCAAAAACATGACTTTGGTCTCCGTCCTCATCTGGACTCTCCTCTGCTTCACTCAGGGTGAGGAAAATCATTTTTCTGTGATGTGAAAATCATTTGGAGTGTAGCTGAGTTTCACCTCACCATCTCATGTCCAGTGTTTCTTCTCTCTCCTCAGGGTCTGTTGGACAAAATCTTGTCGTGACTCAGCCAGCAGCCAAATCAGTGCAGCTGGGTCAGACTGTCTCTATTGACTGTAAATCCAGTCCAGCAGCTCGTCACTACTCTGGTTCACAATATTTCCTGGCCTGGTACCATCAGAAAACTGGAGAAGCTCCTAATCTTCTGATCTACAGAATATCAGACAGATTTTCTGGAATCTCCTCCAGATTCAGTGGAAGTGGAGCAGGGAATGGAGTTGACTTCACTCTGACCATCAGTGGAGTTCAGGCTGAAGATGCAGCAGTTTACTACTGTCAGGCTCATTATTATATCAACAGCCAGTATCTGTTCACACAGTGAAAAAGCGTCGTACAAAAACCTCCCTCAGTCAGACTGAACAGAAACTGTACTGACTGCTGCAGCTGGAAGCTACTGCAGAGACTGATACAGTTCACTGAGGACACACACACACACACACACACACACACACACACACGATTTCTGATGCTCATTGCGTCTCCACCAGTTTTCCTCCTGAAGTTCAAACAGCAGCAGAGTCAGCTCCACTGATGTAGAGACACAAACCAAATTCACAATATATCAAACATCAACGTCCACACATCACACTGAAATCTCAGGACACTGAAGCTCCATATCTGCAATGCAACAAATGTTTTCTGTGGCAGAAACACTGACGCTCAGAAACATAATGGATTCTGGGCCACAGTTCATACAGTACATGTCACTGAACAACCTGTTTGTGTATCATATGCCTCATATGTCACCTCACACTTCAGATTTATAAACTCATCATAACAGCTGTCTGTAAGTTGAGAGACAGTTTTGGAATAAAGAAACCATTTCGGTTCAACCAACTAATAACTTCTGAGATTTGATCTCATTAAAAGTGTCTACTTAGATTTATTACCTATCATTTAAAATGTTCACACCTGATTTTACTGCCATGCTGGCTGATTCATTATGTGCCTGTCTGCCTGAAATGTGCACTGACATTAGTGAAACGCTCTGTAGTGCTGCACAAGTCCCCCATGAGATTTTGTCTTTTTTCCCCTCTGAATTGTACAAACTCTGTGGAAAGTTGGACGTGATTTATTCTTGTATCTTAACTGTAATGAGGCTTCAGAGGAGGGATATTCATGAAGGTACAAATATAACTTTTCAAGAAAATAAAACAGTAAATGTAATGCTCCGTATTTGTAAAGCACCTTTCTAGTCTTTTCACCACTCATTGCTTTGACACTACATCACATTCACACAATGGTGGAACAGCCACCAGGGGCAATTCAGGGTTCAGTATCTTGTCCAACATCGACATGAAGCCTGGAGGAGCCGGGAATTGAACCGCTGAACTTCCCATTAACGAGCAACCCGCTCTACCCCCTGAGCCACAGCCGCCCCTATAGTCTTTAATAACATTGTAAAATTGGAAAGGACCACAGTTTAGACCAGAAATTTAAAAGTTTGAAATAACAGGAAGCAATAATGCTGATTACTTGTCAGGAATCTGGCTGGACCCAAAAGTAGATTGAGACAAACAGGTCAGGTTTAAGGAGGTTTATTAAACAGGCAGGTTAGAATGTGAGTTCAGGGAGCAGGCAGGTGGGTGGGGCTGGGGTTTTGGGTGAAGGTCCAGGCTTTCTTGAGTCATTGTGAGCTGGCTGATTAATGAGGCACATGCCAGGGAGAGATGATCCAGAACAAATTGTGGCTGAATGTGAAGGCCGGCTGGCAAGCAAACAAGGCAGACAGAAAAGCTCACAGAGTTACTGGTGTCTGGCAAGTAAGCTGGTAATAGTACGTTGTGGTAGACATAATAGTATGACTTAACAATGCAGCAGGGACTGGATGTGATGCCTGGGTCTTTGAAGGGAGGCTGAATGAGTAGATGATGGTCAGGTGTGTTGAAAGTGCTTGCAGTCAGGTGAGGAGACGACACCAAACCAGGAAGGCCAAAAGCAACGGAGCGAGATGATCAGACAGACAAAAACCAAAACACACCACATTCACCCAAAGATTAAAACTAACTAAAAGCACCCACACCAGCTGTCACGTGCAGGAGTCGTAGCATGGCTTTAAACACATGCTGAAAGTGCTTGAGCCACGTTACGACATCCGGTCGCTCACCCACTTCAGCGAAAAGATTGTGCCAGATCTTTATGAGTAGGAGAAGAAAAAAGTTGTGGATGAACTATCCCGAGCATCCTCTGTCGTCTGTAACGACAGACGGGTGGACGTCCAGGGGAACGGAGAGCTATGTGGAGAGCTATGTGACGATAACCGCTCACTTCATCACAGCAGACTGGGAGATGAGAAGTCCGGTGCTGCAGACACGCCCCCTCTACGAGAGTCACACTCATCTTGCGCAGGTACTGACACAAGCAGTGGAGGAATGGAAGATAAAGAGGCCCAGTACTAATATCCCAGTCACAACTGATAATGCCACAAATCAAATAAATGCAGTGAATGAGGCAGGACTGGGTCCACGGATAGCGTGCTTTGCACATGTAGTGAATTTGGCATCACAGAAGGGAATCTCAGTCAATAGGATGGACCGCCTCCTTGGGAGGATCAGGAAAGTGGTTTCCTACTTCCACCGAAGCACAACAGCTGCTCATGTGCTTAAGACAAAGCAACAAATGCTAAAGCTGCCTACTCATAAGCTCATACATGATGTCCCAACAAGGTGGAACTCCACTTATGATGTGTTAGAGCGTTATCTGGAGCAGCAGGCAGCTATATACTCTGCACTGACGAAAAATGTCAAAGACATCATCACCCTGTCTGATGATGATGTGAGAGTGGTAGAGGAGGTCCTCCAGGTGCTTAAACCCCTCAAAACTGTTACATCTCTGCTGAGCACTGAAACTTCACCATCTGTGTCAACGATCCTGCCGCTGAAAACAAGGATTCTACAATCCATTGCTCCAAGTGTGGAAGACAGCGCCATCACTCGAGATGTCAAGACTGCCATTAGAGAGGACCTGAAGCCCAGATAAACTTCACCCCCTACTCTACAGGACTACCTTCACAGATCTACTGCCCTGGATCCGAGGTTCAAGTCCCTGTCTCACATGGACCCTGCCCTACGCCAGAGGACATACAGTGACCTCACCACTGAGATTGTGAGCAGTCCGGGCACTGAAGACTGATGAGGTAAAGAAAAAGAGTATTATTGAAAAATGATCAATTTAAATCTAAATACATTTTTTATTTTCAGTAATAATGGCAATGAGTGTAAATACCCTCATATTGCCAAGATGGCAAGATGCTATCTCGCTGTGCCAGGCTCTTCAGTTCCTTCCAAGAGAGTGTTCTCAACAGCAGGGGACGCAGTGACTGCAAAGAGGTCCACACTCTCCCCACACAATGTAGACATCCTTGTCTTTTTGAAAAAGAATTTGAAATTATAAGCTCAGGTATGCTTTGCTTTCTTTCTTTTTCTTTGATGATGTGGACATAGGCTTTATTTCACTATCCATGTTTAAAGGAAGGAGATATGCCTTTTTATGTTGCACTTTAAGTTGTTTTTCATTAATTATGTTAAAAAGAAGATAATATGCCTTGTGCACTTTAAAGGGACTATATGTAGTTTTTCTACTAAAATTAATCCTTTTGTTATTGCCTGTGTGTGAAGGGGTTGTAATCTGACATTAAAATGATCCACTTGCCGGGTTTGGCTATTAACTCTGAAGGCAAGTATTCCTATTCCTATTTGAAGGCTACGGCTCGGATTTTCCGCAAAATCCAGTGACTGACACCTGCATGCGCGCTCCCGAGCCTCTCGCTTTATCTACTGCACTCGACGACACTGCAACTTACGACATGGAGTCTGGTAACACTAAGAAACGACCTGCTCCCAGCACAACACAGACTCCAACACAAACTCCACATATGGATAAAAACCAACAAAAAACCTTTATCTGCTGAAGCTCGTCAGGCCAAATGTGAATCGGATCGACTTTGAACGAAAACACGGATCAACATCGGCAGGGCTTTTGAATCATGGAGAAACCTCCGCTTTGTTTTGAGTATAAAAACAGACCCGGAGTTGGCTTTCATCCAATTGGACAGTTAAGCTAAGATTATTATAAAACATGTAAAACATTTTGATTTTCTGTTTCAGTTGGCTCAAGTTAGATAGCGTTAGCTCGCCGGCTAATGCCGAGTAGTTGCTAATGTTGTCTGGTGCAAAGTTATATCGTATTAAGTTGATTTAAATTATTAAATAAAAAAATATAAAAAGTGTTCATAAATGAAAAGACAAAACTTATGTTTATTTGTCCTGCTGATCCGAAGAATGATCCGATCCGTGACTCTGATCCGAGTTTTTTGATCCGTTGCACCCCTATCAGGATGCCTATACTGCCTACTCTGAAATAGCACCTGACTGAACAGCCCTACAGCCAGATACCACAACAGCCACGTCCGTTAACGGCAGCTCTCCACTCATTGGTCAGTACACTTGGTATGGTTGCTA